GAATCCGATGTTGGATGTGGTTCCGGCTCCTATCCTTGCTCCTGTGAACACTCCGACGAGATAAGCGAAGGAATCTCCAGGATCGTTGTCTTCCAATACAACTACGTTAATCAACTGTCTGTCTCTTCTGTCCAATCTTCTTACCCAGAGGAGTAACATAAAATAGATGGCAACAATGATGACTAAAACGACGATTACCAGAGGGTACTTCTTTTCAGAAATGGAAAGAGGAAAATCAAAAAACGGGATGAACTGATGATTGGGTATGTGAACGTGTCCTCCGACAATCTCACTCGTGAATGGACAGTCACATATCAACAAATCTTCACTCGATTTTTGTCCCATGTAACACCGACTGGAAGTCCAAATATCATACCTCCAGATCCTGCAAGCAGTGCTAAACAGTGTAAAATTGTAATGAACCGTCTCATTTGTATTAACATTTTTCTCTGGAAGAATACCGATGTAGAAAAACTCTCCTTTTTCGTATTCATCCATCCTGAATTTGATGATGGATGAGTTTGTTGTGATCCGTTTTGACTCCGGTCCAGTCATATATTCAAAATCTGGCCTCAAGCCTTGTAGAATACCAATCCTCAACCCAGTGTCATTCTGTATGTATGTAAAATTAATAAATGTCAAAGAATTTGCTTCAGATCCAATTTTGTGAGTTGCAATTTTTTGATCGTTTATTTCAGACCCATCTAGGCTATTTGGTTGTGTAACTTTACCAGAAATATTGAATTGCTTGAGATCGTGGATTTTCAACTCAAAGGGTATTTTTTTATCGGGAAAATAACTTTCAATAGTTTCATCAACGCTTTCTGAAAGATAAATAATTTTTACATCGGTATTTATTTTGTAGCCATTGCTCCACCAAAAGGGATTGATTTGAAAAGAAATGATATTCATATGTACTTTAGGGGATGGTGAAAAAGTCAAAATTGAAGTATTGCCTCTGAATATTTTATTAAGTTCCAAGTCTCTGTTTGTCAATAGCTTAACTTTAAAATTGATGTGATCTGACTCCATATTAAAATCATTAATTGCGTAAGCCTGATGTATTACAATTGAATTAAGTATATCTTGTAGCGTTAAAATAACGTTATTTATGCTTTTCTTCAGATTATTCCTGTTGTTGGAATCAAGCAAATTATAGTTTTCTTTGCTCTCTAAGATAAAATTTGAGTATTGAAGTAAAGAATCAGTTAAATTGTATATCCTCTCACTTGTTGTCAAACAAGAAGATCTAAAGGTACTTGAGAAAGTTACAGTTTTTTCGACAATTGATGATATAGTATACATCAAACTAGTTATCAAATAAAGACTATCACTTGTGAAGTGGCTAATAGGCTTTGTGTTGCGTATAACTTGGACGAAATTAGATAAAACATTGTTAAGCATTATAGCCTCCGAAATAAAAGTAACTGGTTCTGAATTCAACTTATCAAGCATTGCATGGATTTGATTGAATTTAAATCGTGTGGAAAAAGATTTTGAGCTTGATAACAGATCACAGAAAGCAGATATTAAATTTATATGAAAAATACCATCACCTTCATGATAGAATACACCTTGATGACCGAATATCAAGTCCATTTGATGTTCAAACTCTAACTCTGATTCAACAACCTTTATACTACCTGAATCTTCTAGCTGAGATTTTACTTCTATATTATTTAAGGAGGTCCCAAACAGGTTTGTAACACTTACCAAGAGTCTATCCCTTGTAAATAACACATTTTTCATAACTCCAGTATGGCTAAATCCTAAATGTCTTCCATTTTTGTCCCCTTTGTCCTTATTATAAAACTCAAACATCCCCGAAGTCACATCGTGAGCATCGTTATTGCGAGTGCAGGAGATACTGTAAAACTTAAATCCTTCAGTATCATTTTTGTCGAGACTCGTTGTGCATAGAATATTCGTAGGCAGTGAACTTGTAAATATCTTGATGGTCGCTTGTTGTAATGCAGAACCATTGAATATCCAGTTCACTGTAAACAAGTAAGAGGCATTCGGTTTCAAGTAGCCTCTTTTAATTCTCAACTCTGTGTCTTTGGTCGCAGTGTCATCAGATTTAGCTTCCGTCGGAACTAAATTTGGCTTGTGGTCGAGCTCAGCCTGATAAAGCCATTCAAATTTTGTTTCAAGTTTCGGCAAAGTTTCAATTATCGATTCGTTGTATTTTGCTTCCAGATGTAATATTTCTTGTGGATTGGTTCTGAATACACGGCCACCACAGTTCAACAAACAACTTATTCCAATGTTAACCCCAGGAATATCCGTAATATAAAGCATTTGTGACTCGATTTGACGCTGGTACGTTTTGTGTGTATCGTGAATGACCGTGATCATAGTCGAGAGATCGAACCAAAAGGCTTTTACGATTCTAAAACTGTCATTTGAAAATAACACGCCCTTCCTTAAAGCGAATGGACCTTCGATTACTCTACTTGTTTTATCAGTGTAGTACTCTTGGCAAAATCCTTCTTGGTCCCGACATTGCCACAAGTAAGCTACATGCTCAGTGTTACCATCTCCTAGTCTTCCTGGAGCTAAGAAAGTCGAGACTTCGTAAAGTACATCATACTGGTAATAGACTGACCGTAAATAGCCACCGTAGATAAGTGTTTGAGTTCTGATATTGACTATTTCAAAATAACCTTCACTTTCACTGGTTTTAGTTAGCACGTGCGTATCTTGGAAAATAACACTGACCGACAGTCTTAGTTTATAAACACCGTAGTCAACAGAATCTTGTTCGATAACATATGATCGTTTGTCATACAAAGTGTTTAACACATTCATTTTGTTTTCTTGAAGTTTTAAAAGTTGCCATGTCATTTGCAGTTTTTCTACAGGGCTCGTTTTCAAGTCACAATTACTCATGAAAATAGAACCTAAAAACTCTACATACCTGTAACGAGTAAATTTTGGCATTGAAATTTTGTCAGGACTGCAGTTTGTTATATGGGTAGTGATGTTGCAATTGTAACCAGAAGAACCAGAGTGATCGTGTTTATTACTTGGTAAAATGTCATGGTCGAATGAAGAAGAACTTTTAAAGCAAATAATCAATGAAATAACTAAAATAGTAGTTTTGTTTAATTTGCTATCACTTTTTCTCATTTTTACAACAATACACAAAATTCAACAGAGATGAAAAACTGTCACATTGTTAGTAGGTAATACAAGGTTAATAGATTTGCAATATGTAAACATTAATTTGTGAAGTTCAACGTTTTTTTGTTCTTAATCTCAAACACACAAAATAGGAGAAAACACTAACATTACCTTAGCTTGGACCAATAAATTAAAATATAGTTTATCAATTGCTAATTTTGTTCTTTTGCTTTTGTAAATAAATAAACAATAGATCAAGCTGTTTTCATATTGAACATATGATTTGTACTATTTAAAACTCAGACTAAGAAGGAACTATTATTTCAAAGAAAGTGAAGTTTTTTAGAAATGTCTTTATAATTATCATTTTGTGATGCTTTTATATCATACAACAATTATCTTATTTATTTGATGTTTTGGTCTTAGCATAGGTTTTTGTAACGGTTAAAAGTTGTTTGTTTAAGATATCTTTATTGTCCAGTATATACATTGGTTCATGAACATAGTTTTGCATTGTTATACAGTATATAAATTAATGTTAAGTGTAAAGTCAGTTGAGTAGATAATATAATATTGTTCTTAGAAATTCATATAAGTAGAATAAACACAATTTTTCGAAAAAGAAATCTCTTTCCAACTTTCCACATAGCACAGAATACGTATTTCATGTGAATAAACATCAAAATATAAATATTGAATATTATCAAATTCAAAAAGTGAAACAGTATTAATTTTTAAAGGTTCCAAACAAATTTTTAATAATAAATATATTTTTTAGTTAAGTTATGTTATTTATTGGTTTACCTAAAACTGAACTCTTTTAAAATTATAATCATATTTGTTTTTACTTACTAATAATTACCTCTATATTTTTTATTTATTTGTGCCCAAAGTTTAAAAAAATAGTGTTTCGGGAAATAGATAAAAAGAAAAAGAAATTACAATGTAACACTCACCAGTGTTCATACTTTTATCTATATTTTATTGATAACAAAAAAAATGTCTAAGTGTTAATAAATCAATGCAAAGAGGAAATTCTATGGAATAAAAGCAAATAAAAAATATAAAAATGTTTCACGTTAGACTGCCCTAAAGATATTTTTAGTGTGCACAAAACGTGGATTTATGAATTGGATGGATAAGGAGATTCAAGAAGAAAGACAAAACTTAATAAAAGTCTGTTAAAACACAAGGATAAGTCAAAATTTAACTGTTAATTTTAAAATAAAGCAGCAAAAAAGGTTCAAACTCATAATACATTTAAAAGAAAAAATACTTTTAAAATCAATGTATAAAAAATATTGCACAAACTACTTGCAAGTTAATTAATTTAATACTGCACTTGAAATTCTTTAAATTTACGTCCTCAGAGTATTTTAAAATATAATGGAAGTTTTTGTCACTAACGCTGAGACGCTGAGACAATTGTCAACGATGAATGATTAATGACTATGTAGACTTAGTTGACTACTCAACAATTCCAAATCTGAGCAATAAAGGTGACTTATAAGCCCAATACCTAGATGCCAGTTTCACTCTGTATCTGAGAAACAGTTAGGCCTAGATAAAATATCTAGATATGATGACATCCCAATAAAATTCATTAAGGATTCAAAAAGAGCAATTCTTTTGGCTTTACTTAATATCATAAACACTGCTTTGATATCATGAGTATTCCTCCAAACTAAAACTTTCAAAAACTACTCCATTGTTTACAAAAGGTAACAAGATGGATCCTGCTAACTACAGACCTGTTTCAATCCTGCCATCATTACCAAATTCATCCAAGGGGTGAAAAATACACAACAGGAATAGATTAGAAACATTTATTTCTAAATAATGCTAGTCTATTATATAAAAAAATAACACACAAAAAGACTCAATTTATTTAAAATAATCACAAACTTTTATCAATATATTAACTGCTAAAATCAAAGTATTTACAAAATCCACTTGTTGGGTTTATTGATGTAAAAGGAAATAACTTTACACATATCCACTCTTCTTTCTTGATATCCTGAATTTAACATTTTACCATCTGGAAAACAAAACAGTTTCTTTATTTCATGACCTTTGTGACCACACATACAAGCCAGCTGTTTGGTTCATGCTGTTTAATTCTTTCTGTAACATTGACAATGGCAATATCAATGTTTTTTGCAAGACAACAGTCCATATCCTGATCTTGGTATTAACGTTAACTGAAGTTGAATTTATTTTAATAGCATCATTACCTTACAGACCAATGACAAATAGTGGTTATAGTGCTCGCTTGGTAATCAAAAGGTCACTGGTTTGATCCTGAGAAAAGTGGGTACTTTCCTGTTAAAGAGAACATTCATTATTATCGATGATTTTTTTCTTTGATATATCGATATTAACAAATTGAAACATATCAGCTGACAACTACGATAAATTTTGTCCAACATCGACAAACAATAATACAACGAAACTGTTCTAAAAAAATAACCTAACATGACTAACCAAACTTGCTGTAACATCTAAAAATTCCGTGTTTTACTTGCCTTTACTGTTATCAAATGGAATTTTTAAATGGTACAGCAAGTTTGGTTGGTTATGTTAGGTTAGCTTAACTTACAACAGTTTCATTTCTTAATCCATATCATAGACTTTTAGCCTAAACAAGATCAGTTGTCAATTTGTAATGTAAATTGATATATCGAAAAAAAAATCATCGATAATAATGAATGTTCCCTTTAACAGGAAAGTACCGAAAAGTGGTAGCTTTTTAATGGTTTCAAACTGGACCCAGATATGCTTGATCATTGGGATTTTAATAAATATTCCTGGCTAATAAAACAGCCGATCTTAGTCTGTAACACAGCTACACAAGGCATCTCATTCCAATCAACACTCATATTTATTTGGGTTAAAATACGCACCTAGGTGGCGTACTCAGCTCAATTGATAATGATAATGATAAACTTACCTCTAATGATTTGACTTTTATTAAATGTGTAACACAGTAAGGTGGGCTGTAGGAATGAGAGGAAGTTTACCGTACATTTATCAGAGTGTGTTGCAAAATTAGCCTGTTAAGTGAGTCATTTGATAACATACCTATCGAATAGGTTGATACGAAAATCCATTTAGCTGCTGCGGCTGTTGGGAGGGCTCAGGGGGCGGAGGTGGAGGAGGACAGAAGAACAGCGAGGGTGGCAGTTGTGACATCATATTGGGGGGCAACTGGGGGCCCATGGGGGGCACGGGTTGAGCATTAGAGCTATTAGAGCTCACGTTAGGCTTCTCAGCTGCAGGCTTGGAACTATAACTGCTGGGTTTGTTGGAACGGTCGCGATCACGAGATCGTGAGCGTGACCTAGACCGTGATCTTGAGCTGCTGGAACTGCGTGACCTGCGATGACGGTTGCGATCACGACCTCTACGATTGTCGCGGTCTCTATCCCGCTCTCGTGACCTGGACCTGCTTCTCTTGGGGGACGGAGAGTTGTTTCTGAATCCTCCTCCTCGGTTGCGGCCCCAGCGATTTCTCCCTGTGAACAACAGTGAAAATCAGTACTGAACATAAATACAGGTGTTCGATGCAATAAGTAGTAGTTTGGATGTCAACAATCAAACATTGAACTCTTTTTCATCATCTAGATTTTGCTACTGAGACAAAAGAAACTGAATTTCACAAGAACTAATTTAATTTTTATTTTAAAAATTGGCAACAACTTAAACTTTGTGTGAATCAAATGTCTAGTTATATCAATATTCGAATATATCAGGTACAATACAAACTATGACCATAGCAACCATTCGGAAATCAATAATTTTTATTTACCTCCACCACCGCCTCGGCCGTTCCTGAAGCTGTCGGCGAGTTCGATCAGCTTGGGCGACACTATCTGGTTGGCCTCCTTGAGCACAGAAATGAGATCATTGGCTTGCTTGGAGTTGCCGGGTGTGAAGAACGTGTATGCCGTACCTGTGGCACCCGACCTGCCCGTGCGGCCGATACGGTGCACATAGTCCTCCGAGTTGTTGGGGTAGTCAAAGTTGATGACGAATTTTACGTCTTCCACATCTGTGGAAAGTATTGCAATGAGTAAGAGTAAACCATCAAGTCGATTAGCAACCCATCCAATACTGCCAACATCTGTGATTGTCATAAAAAAAAAAACATTTTGTCCTGAAAACAAAATTATTTTTTATTTGTCTTTGAAAATTAATAATATGAAAAGATACTCGTGCACAAACTTCTTTCACACTTAAAGAGAATTTGCTTAACTTATTCCAATTGTTAATTTTTACTGAATTGAGGTAGGGAAAAAATAAGTACCGGTTTACCATAACATGTTTTAAAATATTGTACTCCAATAACTCTAAATAAAGGATATAACAAAGAGCGCAAGGGCCTAGGTTTTCGGTGAGGTAGGCCTGCTAACCTTACAAAAAAATCCTAAAGAATGTTTATTTATACGTGACAAATCGTACATGATTAATTTTTTGTTAGCAAAGACATATTTGTTTACAATAGTAAACAATGTAGTATATTTAAGAGTCTGTTTTTTACCTAAAATACATGATGGTTCAAAATGCGGTTTTTTAAGTTCGTTATACCTATTTCTATTAGATGAAAACTACCGGGATACATATATGAAAAAAAACAACTAAAAGTCTTTTTTAGGCACCAAGCTAAACCAGTAAAAAGAATTCGGTGATTATTTAAGTTCCACTGCATAAGGACAAATTTTTCTTTCACACTTTCACGTAATCACCACACATGACTGTTGGGATAGTGATTTTTTGTAGTTTGTCTCTGCTACTTGCTAAAGACTCAAATATTTATTAAACTACCTAAATTACGAAACAGGATAGATGCAGCTGTTGCAAAAATTATTCTAGACAAAATAAATCGTCATAATTTGGGAAGATCTTGTTTTTAGGCTTGATTAGTGCCGTGCGACAAATGGTCAAACGGTGCTCACATTGAACTTTTAAAAGGAAGAACTCTCTTTTTTTCCTGCACCACTGCACACAATTTCTCTATATACAACTAATAATTAATGAATTGTTAAAGGTAATTGCAGTTGCAGTTAAGCATAGGGGAAAACACCTACTCTAACATCCTCAAACAATTCAATTTTTAATTATTTTTTAAACGATTAGTAGCCTAAATGATTTTACACAAGGGGAAAAGCAGTGATATATAAGTTATTTTAATTCAATTTGAGGTTGAATACATTGGTTGGAGGGTTTCAAAATCCTAAATCCCTGAAAAGGTTGATTATTTAAAGATTTATGGAACAAAAATAATCTGAAAATGTTATAAGACAAACCAGTTTTCAAAAACGGAAATATTTTCCTAGGAGAGGAATAAAAATCATGATTTTAGCATGCATTTTAGCTTTCCAGATTAGCAAATATTTATTTAATCAATTTTTTATCTTATTTAAAAAGCTAATCATTTATTAATCTGAAGAGCCATGTTGATCTGCAATGTGAAATTATATTTCCTAGACCCTAGTGACAGCAGCAGTCAAATTCACAAGCAAATCCACAAATTGTCTTTTACAATTTGCATGAATTTGCGCTTTTTGTGAAATAACAACATAAAATTATCATGACTGAGTTCTAGGAGAAGTACAACTTTCTCTTTTCTTCGCCATGGCACATTCATTTCCCTTTATTCAACTTATAGTAAAAACCCCAACTAGTACATTTATAGAACGTAACTTTTATTTTGATAATTAATTATAGGCTATACAAAAAGTCTAACATCCTCTTTCAAACCAGGTGTTAAAACAAAAAAACCAACAAACAGCACTATTTGTAATTTTAACGATATGTACACATGATAATTAACTTATTTAATACACAATAAAAAAAACTATTTGGAGAAGAAAAAAACCTGTTCTAGTCGTACCTGAAGTGCCAAAAAGCTCGGGGCAACTTGGGTCGACGGCCCAAGATTGTCCTCTTAACATTTTCGGAAATGTTACGGACACCTGACTGCTTGGAAACCACTTCCAAGACTCCTTCGTCGTAGATCACCACACGGCTGCGGTGTGGCAAAGCTAAACCTTTTTATGAGGAAACGCTCACAAAAAGATACTCCTAAACACTCCCATGTCTCCAATTTAAATTTTTTTCCGAGTCAAATAAGATTTTTCAGCTTTCTAAGCATCATAAAGTGAATATAGCAAAAGTGGTCTTTGTATAAAAACCGATATAAAGTTTAAATTTATTTTTCAAGGATATAAATCTAAAACCATTTGAGAGAGCCATGATTTATTTCAAATGAACTATTCTTAACAAATTGAGTCTTGAATAGTCGGGTTGGATTATTTCTAATCATTGTAAAACGGTATATTTTATTTTAAAGAACTTAAAAGTATTAAACTTTTTAAATACTAAAGCACACAATGAATTTACTTTCCATGAGTTGATCTTAATACTCAAATCTTAAACAAATTGAAAGCGGCAAATTCTTTTTGTAGACAATATTCTTTCCCAGAATGCTCACACAAGCCTAGCGGTGATGAGGTTAGCCCATGCCACGGGCTAGACTGGGGCTTGGTGTGTACGCCAGTGTGGGGCGTACTGCGCCCTCGCGGTCAGTAGGCGTAACACCAACGCCAATGAGAGACACAACGGAATGACAATGCCACAACAAGCATTATCACGTATGTGCCTCTGCAAAAAAAGAAACCAAAATTCTCTTTTAATAATTGTTTTTGGGCTGCGGTGTGAATTGAGTTACGTTTCTACCATAGACTTAAGTGTATCGAACTTACCTTTGACGAACTTAGTTTAAGTGTCTAACTTCTACGCAATGGTTCGGATCCATTTGTCGGTTCAGGTTCTAGGTAGACTAATTTACTGATAAGTTGATCATTTTAGAGGACGCTTACACAAGTTTTTAAGTGAATGCGTAGGAAGGGTGTAGAATGAGTTTAATGTTCTATCTGGATATGATATACTTAATTTATTTACTAACGTAAATTCCAAAAGGTTTAGAAAGACTAAGAACCAACCTATATGTACAGTAAAAATGTCAACTAGCCATCGAAAAATCAAAATTATAACAATCACAAAATTATAAATTATAATACTAGTAGGATTATTGTTAGACTTTACTATCATTTAAGTCGTATAATTGAATAATCATAAATCCACTGAGCATCAAAATAGTTACAATGGGTATAATATTTTAAGTTTTAAGAATTAAATACAAAACCTGCTTTAAAACTTGTTTTCCAAATGAACAATTTAAATTGTCTCCAAAACTAATGGGGAAGCATTTAAGTTCAAATTTCACACCTCTAAAATTCTAACTAACAATTAAAAATGTATATCCTTTTGCTGGGTAACTAACTGGTTTGTAGGTTTGTGTTTTGACAAACATTTGCAGTTAAAACATAACAGATTTGATATTTATAGTATTTAATCTTAGTTACACTTTTAATTCAATTAATTAAACTATGACCGTTCAAAGAATAGTGGCGTTCAATATTATTATCAACATAAATGTTAGATTAGGGAAAATACATCTAAAACTTGCACCTACACAATTCATTACTAGGATAAGCTTGAAAATATGTCGAAACCAGATCACAGGCTAACATAAATTATCTATAGTGACACTTTTTTATTTTTTTTTCCCTAGGACGCTAGGTACGAGACTGGGATTGTTTTTCACATTACTTCAGGCTAGACCTAGGGGTTGCGGCATTATCACTTAGATAAAATCCATTGGTGACTTGGCGGGGATCGAACCCCAGACCTCAGGGACTGAAGTCCCGCGCTCTAACCACTACGCCAGCTCGCTCCCCATCTATAGTGACACTATGCACATACAACTTTACTGTGCTTCAAATAAAATAATCAAGTAATTTTTGATGGTCTAATGATTTTACCCTCTCGCTTTCCTCAAATATCAAAATATCTCTTACAGTGTCTAAGATAAATGTTAAAGACACAACTTATATATCCTAGGAGAAAACAGCCGAATCGATAAATGGAACCAAACGCTGTAATTTTATATGATCAAATGTCTAAACTAAAATAAAAATGTTAAAAAATAAAATAAATAATATTTACAGTTTTAGGGATACACTAGTATCTTACCCAATCCACGAGCAGCGACATCAGTAGCTACCAGGACGGGAGTTCTGCCAGAACGGAAATCTGTAAAAAAAACATGTTCTTATTTAACCAGATTTTTGAGCCGGGCCGAGCATTGAGCACTGAGTGAGAAAATCAAGCTTGTGCCGAGCCTTTGCGATCGCTATATGGATGACGATAACTTCTTAGAGGGAGATAATGATGATGTCTGAACGACCGCAGATTACTAAAATTGTGGAAGACGATAATGTCTACAGTCTCATGAAATTATCAAGATTTTGCAACAATTGCGAAAGTTGATGATGTTTCTATGACCAATGAAACATTTTCATTATGTTCAGGATTTTGCTGCAACAGTGGAAGACGATGATTATGATTGTGTGACCACTGGAAGTAAACAGGATTTTGTTGCGACAGCAAAAGACGGTGATGGTGTCCCCGCAACTGCGGAACAGGATATTACCGCAACCAACAAATTATCCTTTTATGTATTAAAAATAAGTTTATACTGTACTTTATAACAAACTAAATTGCATTTTGGGAAGAAGGCTATAATAACAAACTACCTTATTATATCACATTAAGTAAAGCTTATTATATAAAAAAGCTCGGCTCAAAAAAATATCAGGCTTGCACTTCACTAAAAATAGATAAATAAAAGAAAATATCAAATTGAGTTGACCAACCTTGCAAAACGAGATCGCGCTCTGGTTGTGACTTATCTCCATGAATACAAGCTGCTTGGAACCTAAACACACAGAAAATTACAAATGTTGGGTGATGTAAAAATATAGATTTAATATGTATTAATAATATCACAGTTACATCACCCATAGGCATAATGACGTTATTTTACAACCAAGATCAACTAATTTGTATTGGAATTTAAAATCATGGACCAGATCAAAGTTGTATTAAATTAAATTATCTTAAATTAAGGCAACGAGAGTTGAATGAATGAAATTATATCTTTGTTACTATTCTAAGTTGGTTCAATAATCAGGACTATTTAAATTCAATCGAGGGTTGGGTCCAGTTCCGAACCATAGCAAAACCACTTGCATGTCTCAGAATCAAACCGGCGACTTTCTTATTACCAGCCAAGGACTTTTAATAACTACTCAGCCATATTATTTACAGGGATAAAAAGAGGTTACAGTTTCCAATTAATAGTAACATTAACTCACCCTTCTCTTCTTAATTTTCTCGTCACATCGTCCACTCTTTTCTTTGTTTCTATGAAGATTATCGTCTTGCTATCGGCTTCCCCGGTGATTTCTCTGAGCAATGTGCTGAGCCTATAAAAACATTTTATATTAGTTTACCATAAAATTAAAAGACTACACATTGTCTTAAAACATGAAATTGGAAAAGGTTGAGTTGAAAACAAACAGCAGCATCGGGAATCAATAGCGATCAGCAGATTCAGGATTCGAGAGCAATCAGCAGATTTGGGAGTGAAGAAACGTCGGTTGCACTCAATGGAATTCGGGGGAATTTTATTTTAATTTATTAGCATTTTATGTCATTACCAAAAAAAGAGGGCCCAATAATACACTTAAGAATGGGCTGCCAGCGAATGATAAAAGAATTAGTTCTTTTACTATTGGTGGATTTTTTGCTAATCCTGCAATAGCTTTTTTAGGAAGATGTTTAATAATCTGGCATCACTTAATTACCAATCGTGCCGGATTAGCGAGCGTCTACTATTAGTACTGTAAACTTAAAGGAATTTTCTATACGTTGTTGGACTAGTTTTTTCCATTCCTGTATTTTATCATCTAAGCTAATTAATTACCCAGTTAAGCCTGGGAAGATATCTGTTTTTCCTCTTAGTAAATTTATTGGTAAGTTTATTTGTTGTATATATATTGTAAAGTAGTTTCAAGATTAAGGTTGGTTCAAGCTAATAGCAACTCATTCTCCACATAGAGGCATCGGCATCACCTACATGTAGAATCGGATCATTCTATGTATTCATGTTTGTGGCTTACTTGTTCTCCTTCTCGTAGTCCTGGCAGATGTCCACTATCTGCAGGATGTTGTGATTGGCGGACAGTGACAGAGAGCCTACGTTGATCTGTATGTAGTCCTTGAGGAAGGAACAGGCCAAGTTTCGCACCTCCTTCGGCCACGTGGCCGACCACATCAGCACTTGTCTGTCGGGCTGCAAACATATGACTTTGAGAAAAAAACTAGTTGATAGCCTATTATAGATTTCACATGTTAAATTTATATCAGTTTCAGATCCCCTATGTTGGGTGCAAACTTTGTCTTCGAGTAGAACTAAACAAACTATTTCCATGATTAAGCTGAAACCAATTTTAGGATGGAAATTTATAACTGAGTGGGCTGAAGTAAATTACTAATTAAGGTTGAACAAATCAACTTGTTTACCAAGCCAAACTAAAAAAAAAAAAAAAAAAAAAAAAAAAAAAAAACACAATACAAATTATATTTTAAAGGAAATTCAAGTTACTGATTAGGACTTCTAAAGTGATTCTTTTCTAAAAAGTAAGTTGATTTCTCTTCAAACTACTTTCTAAAGAAATTATGGGACAAAATGTCAGTGTTTTTCACTTTATTGCATATCTATTAGGCAGGACTCTTTTCTCAGGTAAACTCACTAAACTCTATCTCTCATCAAAAAATTGTAAATTATAGTCTTCAGGAGGAAAAGATGCTCAAATGTATTGTATATTATAGCACCTTTCTTTTAAATCACATCAATTAACACAGTAGCAAAAGACCAAGAGAAAATAAAGCATTTTGACAGTCAAAAATTCTGTGAGTAGCTCATTCAAGTACATCCCCGTTTAGTATTGGCTACACCTGGTCCATATGGATGAGTATCCAAAAATCAATGATCAAGAAAGTTGTACAAAGTTTTGAACATCGGCGATGGATCACAAATAGAAGGATATAAAATATTTAATATTTTTTGTAGCATTACAGCATATTGGGAACACAACTACAACTACCGAACTACCTAAGTGGCCTGTCAAACTTACCCTGATCTGTTCTACAATCTTGCGTATCTGAGGCTCAAATCCCATGTCAAGCATTCTGTCAGCCTCGTCCAACACGAGGTACGTGCATCTCTTGAGGTTGGTGCGTCCAGATTCCAGAAAGTCCAGGAGACGGCCGGGCGTAGCAATCACTATCTCCACTCCCTTGTCCAGCTCACGGGCCTGTCAACAAACAAGCCATCAAAACCAGTTTCTTAAACTCGTTTTCAAACTCATCAAGATCTTTTAATGCCAGAGACTGTTTGAACTTAATTTTAAATAATGGTAAGATGTCATTTCCCCCACACCACACAGTAAGCAGCTGGTGTCTGATCTATTTGTAGCCAAAAAAGTTGTTTAAATAAAGGGTTTGGTAAAGTCAGCTGGAGTGTGGTAATTTGCAAAACTCTCTTATGGAAAAAAAACGGTTAGTTAAAAACTGGTGACATTAGTTTAAATGTAATAGCAATTAATATACTATAATAGGTTATACAACTCTTCGCACCTGTCCAGACTTGGGAGCGCCTCCAAACACGCAGGTATTGCGTATGTGAGAAGTCTCGCCCACTTCGTTGGCCACCTGTTGTATCTGCTGGGCCAGCTCTCGTGTGGGCGCCAGTATCAGAGCGATCGGCCCGTCCCCGCGGCACAGGCGGCCCTGGTTGTTGATATGCACAATAGCCGGCAGAATATACTGTGAAACAGCCATCAAGAGTCAACATACTTAAGCAATGCACATTAGAGCCAAAAATCCAAAGAGATTTACCAAATTACTCAGAAAATGAGTTCTAAGGCTAAAAAAACGAGTCATAAAACAACATAAGCTAACACAAGCTAAAACAACATATCAAGGATAAGTTGGAAGATCTTAACTACTCCGGTCCAAATTCTTAGTTCAGAATTGATTCACAGAATTGACACTACTACAGCCAATAAGTTAGTAGATTGAATACTTAAGTCTTGGTAATACACTTTTAGAGTGATGAACAATATTTTTTGTCATGCCGTACTATTATTAAGCTAACAAAAACATAAAACAATTATTTCCATTGTTTATCTTTCCAAATAACCAATAGTTCACAAATAGTTTAGGTCTTTTTTGCCTATGTATATGAACATATGTTACTTTTATTCAGAAGCGAGGTTTTTAAGGTATACCTACTCTGCCAAGACAATAATTAACTCAAACACTGAGTCAGAGCAAAAGTTAATGTTACTGGAGTGATAATACTATGTTACACAATAATGAACACAAAAACCTTTTCATTAGCCTACAATGCAACAACAATTATCATTAGAGACTATTCTCTTCTGCAAAATCAGCTTAATAATCACAACGTTCACATTCATGTAGGTTACCCAAGTTCAAAAGGAAAAAAATAATGCAACTTTCAAAATATGTTACCCAGACAGACACTAAGAGTACCTACCGATAACGTTTTTCCAGATCCCGTAGAGGCGATCCCCACCAAGTCTCTTCCGCTAAGAGCAATAGGCCAGCCCTGCGCCTGGATAGCTGTAGGGTACTCAAACCCTAGACGTCTGTAAAAATCATCACATGGGCCTAATTTAGAAAATGGTGGTAAATATTCTCTTTATTTCTTGTAATCCAAAACAAAACCCCCTAGATGGATGAACTGGTCTCCCTAACAGTGTAAATTTAACCAAACCCATTGACAGCTCCATTGTGGAAAGACAAGATGCAGTTTACTAGAAAGGAGAGCATGAAAATAGTTTAATGATGGTGAATTGCCATAGAATTAGATAGGAGACAAAGCTACTCTGATCATTTCTATCAACTATCAAGACAAGTGTAAAATTGTTTTAGTCTGTGCTATAAACAAATATGTCTTTGCATACACTAAATTATTAAAATAAAGCCTAACCATAGGAAAACCAATAAAAACTAAAAGAGTGAACACAAAGTAGTCCTATTGATGATAAGTTTAAGATTTTCAATAACAAATTGGACTCTGTGTGATATACACAATTTGTTATTGATAGATATACATTTACAAACCTACAATATGTACATAGGCTTCTTGTAGAATACCCTATACTGCTATTAACCTTTGCGTTCAAACAAGGAAACCAGCGTGATTACTTACTTGATCTCTGACAATACATAATCCGGGAACCCAGCTTCTTCAAAACCGAATATTGGGTTTGGAATGTTGTTGCCTACCAGAGTGATTTCCTTGCTCTCTCTGTAAGCATCGATCTCAGATTGAGGCCTGAAAAACAAAATCTTCATCAGTTTTGGTTTTAATCAAACATATCAAAAGTAGAGATAGACAAGTCTTAAAATTTCGGGAAATTTTAATTTTGTCCTAACTTACGAGACGAGATTTTATTTTGATCTAGATTTTTAGTTGCGTTTCCTTTGCGAAGGTGTTATTTAATTAATTATTAACATGTAAATATTATGGATTCAATCCTCTATCTTTATGATCTGAAAAAAATTTCTTAATATTTACGGTTTACATCAAATTTGCCATCAAAGATTTTAAATGGCGGCCATAATAAAACGGCTTGAAATATTAGAAAGAAACTTTATAATCTCTTTTTACCTACTAAAATACACATGTATACAAATTTTGAAATTTCTATCTTGAAAAATGCTCAAGATAAAATAATTCTTAAAAATCACAAACAGACCGACAAACAGAACTCTAGGCCTTTTAGACCCATAATTATATGGCATTTTATGTTTGTCTTAGCCCAAGGAACAAGTTCACAAAATATGCCCAGACAATTTGGAAACACCAAATTACATTTGGAAAGATTACATTTGACTCGGGAATTTTTCGGAACGGGATTTGGTCCGATCGTCGGCGATTTTTCCAGTTGCGAGTGCCGATAACGCCGTTATTGCGAGCGATAGGTCCGCAAACGCAGGAGACGAAGTCATTTTGACGATTACGCCGTGACCGCGGAGTCATAACGACGATCGCGCCGTGGCCGCGATTATTGGACCGACGATCGCACCGTGACCGCGAGTCATACCGACGATCGCGCCGTGACCGCGGAGTCCTACCGACGATCGCGCCGTGACCGCGGAGTCCTACCGACGATCGCACCGTGACCGTGAGTCATACCGACGATCGCGCCGTGACCGCGGAGTCCTACCGACGATCGCGCCGTGACCGCGGAGTCATACTGACGATCATGCCGTGATGGCGGAGTCATGCTGACGATTGAGCCGTGATCGCGAGTCATACCGACGATCATGTGTGACGTAATTTTCCTGGCGGACGACAAGTGGGAAATTACGCCACCGGTAACAAAACGAGGATCCCAGGATTCGCCCTAGTCTGGTCGCGGGGAGTTTCCCAGGAGTCGATAGTGATTCGGATAGCCTAAGTTTGATAGCCCTGGTTGTCAGAGCTCGAGACGAACGTTGCGGGTTACTAAACACCCTACTCGAAATCACCACTCTAGCCTAGGGCTTGTGGGGAAATAAATAATTTTGACTTGACTCTGTGGGCAAATATCTAAATGACACACTACTAGCTAACTTAACAAATCAACAAGTAAGCTAAGTAGTCACTCCGCTTACCTACGGAGTTACGTCGTCAACCTGAAACAAACAAGGTTAGTACAAGATAGGCCTAACCTAGCCTAACTCCCACAGAGTCTGAATTTACTAAATGATAAGAAAACAAGTTAGCCTAAGTGGTCCAGGTGAGGAACGAACAAAAAAAACGAAACTAAAAAGGTGAAACTGCTCCTTGAGCCAAAAACGAAAAACTAAAACTTTAACTTCCTCACGTGTTCAACTTAGACCAACTTCGACAGAACTTGTCCAGCAGAAACCTGTCTGCTGGAACAGACTTTGGTACGTTTGGGGAACTTTAAAAAAAGGGTTTTAAGAATTTAAAAAGAAAGTCCCAAATATGGATTACGAAACGTTAAATCGAAATGATCTGTCACCAACTCCGATACTTTAATTAAATGAGTTGGTTAAAGCGTATGACGAGGTCTGCGAATCAGGCCTAGCCTAGGAACTTCGACAAAGTTCTGCTGAAACACAAGTGACAAAAGAAAAACCTAAGTTGTCTTAGTTTTACACAACTTACCAAACGAAGTAATACTATTGTAAAACACTTTTAGCGCACTCGATGCACCACGAACTTAATGTAGGCTAACTTTTAAGCTACGAACGAAAAAAACAAAAACTCTTCAAATCGAAGACGAAAAGACGAATTAGCGAATCCTTCAAAAGCCGGGAATACGAATGACCAAATCTTCACAAACTTCTTCTTACTTCACCTTCGTCTCAGAATCGAGACGAAAGTTAAAACGATTCCTGATTGGTCAACGAGTTACAGAAACAAAAAAAAACTGGCAGCGAAGGCAGGCGCATGGCAGCTTTAACAGGCTTACAGCCGCGTACCACTCAAAGGTGACCTCGCTGCTCATCTTCTCTCCCGTAGCCCGGCCTCAGACGCAGTCGAACAGCCAAACAACCAAACTGACACCAACGTCGTCTGCGGTCTTGGAATTGGAGGTTAGGTACGACGTCAGTTTAGTGTCGCGACTAGGCTTACTCAACAGCTTATGTTTAGCTGTTTAAAGTTCGTGGTTTAGCCGTTATTTTACCCCCTACACATTTGACCCGTTACACATGCCGTGACCCAAGTCATACCGACGATAACCCCGTGACCGCGGAGTCATACCGACGATCGCGCCGTGACCGCAAGTCATACCAACGATCGCGCCGTGACCGCGAGTCATGCTGACGATCGCGCCGTGACCGCGAGTCATGCTGACGATCGCGCCGTGACCGCGAGTCATGCTGACGATCGCGCCGTGACCGCGAGTCATACCGACGATCGCGCCGTGACCGTGAGTCATACAGACGATCACCCCGTGACCCGCGAGTCACAAGTTTCTATAGGTACCTGTAAATTGTTACCCATTTTTTGGTTTTTATAGATCAGTGCCACAAATGGTAAAAATTGATTTTGTATGTCTTTTTTGGTAACTTTTTCTGTTTTGGCACAGAAAAAAATCCCTGCCCGTCCCGTCCCGAACTAAAAATTCAATCCCATCCATCCCTAGTTTTTAAGTCTGCTTAGTAAAACTTCGTGAAAACCAATGAACAATTTTCAAACCAATATAACTCTGACCTGAAAAAAACCAACATGACAACTCAGCTGAACTCATGCACAGATAACTTAAAAGGCAGCTAGTATAGCCATGCAAAAAGGAGATGTTAAAGTAGTTTCCCAAAATGGAATTAGGCCTGACAAAATATTTGTTTAATTCATTTTTAACTCCACTTAAGACTTTTACACTATCAAACTTACCTATTTGCTACATTTATATGGGGTACATAGAAATCTTTCTTGAATGGTTCCAGTCTGCTCATGTCCCATCTTGGTTTCCGCAATTTCTCGCCAGCATTTTGTCCTCGTCGAGCCCCGCCAAAACCACCACGGTCTCCTCCTCTACCCCCTCCACCTCTTCTGTCATCTCGGAAGCGGTCTCTACTGCGACTCCTTCTCCGGTCACGGTCCCTCGATCTTTCTCTGCTGCTCAAAGATAATTTACATTTAAATTAAGTTTACACAGGTGATGAATTGTACTAGAACAGCTTAGTTTATCACTACCTATGTTATAACTTAGGCCTAGAACAATATCAGTGTTAAGGAAACGGATCAAATGTTAGGAGAAAGGGGGAGTCTTTCAACATATTGAATTTCATACCTCAGGTAGTGTTCAAAGATTTGGGGTCAGTGGGGGAGTCAATACCCTTTTACGATGTAAGTTACTTGGTCTTGCTCCCTTCATTTATTTTCTTTAAGTTTATAGTCTTTGTTTAAACATTTTGTTAAATATTAATATTAGTTAGGTCTTGGTATTTATTTAGTATAGGTGCCTCCAAACAAATTTTAAATTTTTATACCTTACTTAATGGTTTTTTACCTCCTGAATCCACGTATACCAAATTTTTCACCGCTGATGAATATTTCTCAAAATACCTATTACATTCCTGAGAAAAACACTTCAAAATTACTATTTCTAAAATGCACTTCCATTTTTTAAATAGTAATTTGAAGTGTTATTAATAATGAATCGAGTTGTAAGTTTAAGTCACCAGCACACTGTTGTATCTGTATTTTTGAAATATTAAGTTTAATTTGACATGTTTTTTCTCAGGATTTTAATTTTACAAAAACAGGCTGCAGGTTACATAAACTAACAACTCGATTCATTATAACCTAAACTTTAACTTAGGTACCTAATCAAACCTACCTTCAAAGGACTTAATGCAGTCACGGATTTGTATTTTTAAAGCATGGCCAACCACCCTGACGCCTTTTCTGACATGAAAAGGAGTTTGATATTGTTCTAGAGGTTTGGTTTGGTTAGCTTATATTAGCACCATTTCATTAAAATGTTATTTCCAAACAGTGAAATATAAATCATTAAGTAATAAGAATAAAATACTGGTAACAATAATAAATTAGATTAACCCCTTAACCGCCGTCTAAGTAGCCTAGTCAAAATCCGCCATTGCCACTTATTTTTGCCGTTTTTGACGATTTTTACTTGTGATTTAATAAACTGTACCAGTTGTTTTTCTAAAGAAAATAGTTATCGATATTGTTTGTAGACATCTTCAAAAACATTAAGCTTTAACAATACCCTACTAAAATTTGTGATTGTGGGGTGGGGTTCGGGGGTTTCTCGAGTTAGGCCTATAATAAAAATTAGGCCTACAATAAAGTCTACAACTCTAATAAATCGTCATCCTCAAGCATGTCACCAGCCATTACGACTAATATTTACTACTCATTCAACCTGTGTTTCGTGATCTGCAGAACGTTAACTATCCTTCACCTTCTTCTCTACCTGATGTCGAATCTGCCTTCTCTGACTTCTGCGACCACCTTGGCTCAATCATATCTCAACATACACCCACAAAACAGCTTCAATCCTCAAGCTTTCCTGCCTGGTTTACCGAGGAGCTAAAACGACTTGTCTTAAGGAAGAAGGCCACCCATCGACTTCTTAAAACCTCAGGAAATCTTCGTCATCGTGAAAGTTTTCGCAATTTGAGAAGCCAGTGCAAGTCTTTAGCCACCAAGTGTCATCGAGACTACTTAAAAAGAATTGAAGACGACATTCCTCATAACATAAAATCTTTTTGGTCTCACGTCAACAGACTCAAGAGCAGTCCATCCCCTGCTGCTAAACTATCTTTTGATGGTAGAGAAGCTGAGTGTGCTGCCGGAAAGTGCGAACTATTCTCAAACTACTTTTCATCCGTCTTCACGGAGAACCAAATTCCCTCGCCTGTCTTCGACTTTGGCTGGAACTTCTCCATCACTAAATGTGTCATCACAGCCTCAGACGTTCAACTCAAACTTGCCTCGCTTGACCCAAATAAGGGAGCCGGTCCTGATGCTATTCCTCCGTGCGTTCTTAAATACTGTGCCCCTATTTTGGCTCCTCATCTGGCTATCTGGTTTACATCCCTGCACTCACTTGGAAACTTCCCATCGGCCCTTAAGCGTGGCTTTGTCGTCCCCATCTTCAAATCTGGTGATCGTTCAAATGTCAGAAACTATCGGCCCATTGTCATTCTCTCTGCTGTTGCCAAGGTGTACGAGAGCATTGTTTTGGACTACCTCTATTTTCATCTCCGTAAATGTATCTCCTCCTCTCAACATGGCTTCCTGCGCTCACGCTCAACAGTGACAAACCTGATGGAATTTCAAGAATACGTCATGGCCGCTTTTGGCGATGCTCTCCAAGTTGACTGTGTTTACCTTGATCTCTCCAAAGCCTTTGACAAGGTCAATCACAACATCCTTGTGGCAAAGCTCGCCGGATATGGTGTGGGGGGGGGCCCTGCTTGAGTGGTTAAACAGCTACTTGACCAACAGAACCCTTGTAGTCAAGTACGACGGGTGCCTTTCTACGCCATTCAGTGTCCTATCTGGAGTCCCGCAAGGGTCCCACCTCGGTCCCTTGCTGTTTAACCTGTTCATGAATGACATTGGCAACGTCATCCTCACCAAGTTTCTCATGTTTGCCGATGATATTAAGGTATTTGGCTTGGTGTCATTGGCTTCTGACTTTGAGCGCCTCCAACTTTCTCTCACTAACATCGACGCCTGGTGCAAGGAAAACTTCATGGAGCTCAACGTCTTGAAATGTGTCGTCATCTCCTACAAACGTGGTGCAGCCCCAGTCCAATATGACTACGTCCTCAATGGTTCTACACTGAAGAGAGTGGAAAGGGTACGAGATCTCGGAGTGACAATGACCCCTTCGCTCAACCCTCACGAGCACATTGCCCACATTACAACCAAAGCTAGCTCCCTGCTTGGTTTCATATTCAGATCAACAAGGAATTTCAACTCGCCCTTCACCTTGATCACGCTCTACAAGTCCCTGGTACGCCCGCTGCTGGAGTATGGGTCAATCATCTGGTCTCCCTTCCAGAAGAACCACGTCAGCCAACTGGAGAGCATACAAACCCGCTTCATACGGATGCTTGGACCGAGACTTGGTTTTACCTACCGCACTACCCCGGTTGACGATGTGGAGAAGTCCTTCGATCTTCTGCCTTTGTCACTCCGACGTCATCATGCCGACATATTCATGCTCTACAAGCTGGTTAACGGGTTTGTCGATTGCCCCAACATCCTGAGTGGTATCGACATTACCACGCCCAGAGGCACCCGCTCCAGGACTATATTCAGCAGACGCTTTCTCCCAGCCTACTACTCTTACAACAGCGGAATTAGCCGTCTACTCAAGGCTGGTAGCACGGCGGCTGCTCAACTGGATTTCTTCGGTGAGAAGCCCCTCCGGTTCAAAAAGAAGGTCTCCCTGATCACTTGAGCTACCACACTCCAGCACATCTGCATATTTGTCCTCTCATCGCTGAAACTTGCTGTTCATGTTCTTTGTTGATACTCTTTTTAGTTTATTCTTCTGTTATTAATATTTGTTATTACTTTGTTATTACTATTGTTATCACTATTTGTTATTACTATTGTTATCACTATTTGTTATTACTTGCTATTACTATTTATTATCACTTTGTTATTACCATTGTTATTACTTTTCTAGTTAGTAATATTGCAAATGCCATCTAAATTGTTACACATATTTTGTAAAAAGGTGCAATCCGTTGGGAAATAAATAAATAAATAAATAAATAAACCCTACCAAGTAAATAACCACCAAAAAACACAATTATAATGACACGCATAATGTACGTAAGCATTACGTAAGCTTCCGAAAGCACGAGTTTTACTGAAACTACAACGGAACTGATCGGGACCATTACTGACCTATAATACCACTAAAATCCACCAGATTGCAGCACTAGTCAAGCAGCACTGTCAACAACTTGTTTACGTACGTATATCAGAGATAAGGCGGGAAGTGAGCTGTTAAAAATAAAACACAACAGCTGATTACGTCAACACGAGATAACTCGTACGTGGCGGTTGCTCTGAAAACTAGTATAGCCCGGCATATCTCGTGCGTGGCGGTTAAGGGGTTAAATGTGTTGATTTATTGGTCTAAGAAATTGATAGGCCTAGATGGAACTCAATCAGGTGATTTTCAAATTCCATAATCAGAGTTAGCTAATAAAGTTGTCACTTCCATTATTGTTTGACTATGATTGAAAACAATCAGCTGTTAGATTATTACTTCACCCACAGTTCATTCCACTTGTAAATGTCATCCGTCCTACCTTGTTTAGGCTCTTGTAATGTTGTATAGCTTATTTATACGGCAATAAATTATCTTGAGAAATATTCATCAGCGGTGAAAAATAACAGTAGGGCCTGGCCTATATTTGGATTCAAGAGGTAAAATACTAAATATAGGTCTAAGTTACCTAAAGTTAGACATCAAAATTAAAAATTTGTTGGGTAAGTTAAGTAGCCTACATTTCTTAACTGGGCTCTGAGGCCTACACTAATAATGTATCGATTGAAAATATTGATTCGAATAGGCTAAGTTACAAGTAGGCTAAACCTTCATTCAATTTTTTTACGAGCTATATCAATTATAAAATAAAACTGTTATAACCCATCCAACCAAACCTGCTGATAATGAAAATATCGAATGAAGGTTTACTAATCGAATCAATATTTTCAATCGATATTAGCGTACCCCGGTTAAGAAACTGTACCCGAAATAAGATTATTAAGTCACATAGCCTAGCATATCTTATCAAAGTTTGGTAAAAACTCAGTTTCCACAGCGGTAACAGTTTTCCAAAAATGTTAGGGTAACCAACAAAAATAGGCTTCATTTAGGCTATGTTTTGAAGACCAAAAATATAACATAGGCCTAGACTTAACTTGTGCTTAAAGTTCGGTAGGCTAAAGGTTTATTTGCAGGTTTTTTAAGCACACTCCATTCTAATCAATATTAAACCGAAGTGCTCCTCCATTATTAATTTAGCTTGGCAATCCGATTTCAGGCATTCCTAGGCATAATAATGCGCGCAAGTCAAGTTGAAACGTTCTCTCTTACCTTCTTCTATCAAATCGCCCCATGGATTAGGAAAGTATTAATATAAAAGATTTATCAAGGTAAGTTAAAATCAGATAAACACAATTAGGTAAACAACTTAGAATTTGTCTCAAAATGTTAAATCAACACAATGCACTGACGCAGATTCACTATTCGACAGCCACACACAGCCAGCAGAACAGAGAAAAGAAACGCCGAACGCCGAACGACCGAACACCAGAACGAGAAGAGAACAGAACAGAACAAGCTGATCGGGTTTTTTGGAAAGGGAAAAAGAAGGAAAGAGTTCGAAAAAAATCCAACAGACGCCTTCCTTTGCTCAATGACTATAACATTTCAACTAACTAATAACTACAACCTAGGTACTTTATATAGTCAATGCTAAAACACTGTTAATTAGACGAGTACGTAACTTTAATTTAACACAAAGCCGCTGATCCCGTAAAACTGTTGGGTTTCACTCTGGACTGTAAGCTATCCAGAGATAAACACATTGATGTGATCACCAGAGATTGTCCAGAGTCTTGTTCCTGCTGCGGAAGCTTCAGAGCCTGCTCGACCGCAAATACCTAATAGTGGTTTATCATGCCCTGTTCCACTCTCACATCAGCTGTTTGGGGACACGCTTCTTTACCTTTACCTTTATCGGTTCTTCATCGTTGCCCAGCCATAGCTGGATAGATTGCGTTAAATGAAGAAAATTAAAACTTTAAAACGTTGTCTATATACACTATATACAAGGTGTATCATGATGTCCAAACTGAGTCAGGGGTTTCGAAAAATTCCCTGATGGAGTAAAGGGGCCTAGTCTTCAACTCCCTAGACATGTGCGCTAAGAACGCTTTCACTGGCAGGCCTCTGATCTCAACACTGAGACTATTATACAGCTTTATGGCCATAGTGGGAAAACTGTTTGCGGTCTTACTGAGCCGATGGGATGGAAGGTCAAGTTGGCTACGGTTACGAGTATTGCAACTATGAAGGTCACCCCTTGAGCTAAAATCATTTAAGTTTTTCTTTACGTGTACAATACTGTTTAAGACGTACTGGCTGAACAGTGTCATAACTCCCAGACGCATGAAAAGAGGTCTACAGTGGGCGTCAGCTTTGCTAGAAGTTACAATTCTAAGTGCCTTCTTCTGGAGTCTGAAGGATCTCCTAGAACCAGGTGCATGACCCCACAACTGCAAACCGTAGTTCAGATGACTATGGAAAAGGCCATAATACACTGTCAGTAAATACTGCTCAGATATCTCCAGCTTGATTTTGCGAAGCAGAAAGATTGTTTTGGATAGCTTGTCGTTAAGGTGGGATATATGGTCTTCCCATGAGAGCTGGCTGTCCATCCAGAAACCTAACAATTTGACACACTGTGAGTCTTCGATGGGAACTATGTTTCTTTTTAGGGTACAGATTAGGTTTTGGGTCTTAGAACCATTCAGCTTAAGCTTATTCTGCACAAACCAATCCTTGGCAGTTGCCATGAGAGTCTCGGAGTCACTTTGGAGCAGGTCCCGTCGAGAATTTCTGGATATCAGGGTCGTGTCATCTGCGTAGAGGAGGGACTTCCCATCGCATCTCAGGTCATTGATGTAGATTACAAAAAGCAGAGGGCCTAGGACAGAGCCTTGTGGGACGCCATGCTCAATATGCAGTTCTCTTGAGAAGGCACCTTTAACAGAGACCGTTTGACGTCGATTCCTGAGATAGCTTTCAAGCGATTGGTAGGCCATACCTCCCACGCCATATGTTTTTAGCTTGTCCAGCAAGATTTTGTGGCTTATGACGTCAAACGCCTTACTAAGGTCACAAAGCGTTAGCTGCACGTACTCCCTTCAGAGTGCCACAGACTGCTTTTGCTGCAGAATGCAGCGGTGAGGATTATCACCTCAAAGTGATTACCTAGATCACTGTCGGCAACTGTTTCGAAATTTGGGGATACTCACCGTACCAACAAACTACATCTTGGTTTCCCTGGTATATGTTAAGCGACTTGAGGCCTCCTTCACCAACAGAAGCGAAATTCATAACCACTACTTAAGAAGCATATCTAATCTGGACAGGACATCCCAAGACGCGGACTTAAAACTTCAAAGCACTTCCCGGACTTGGTGCTGAAGATGTTCAACAGGCTTCCAGCTAAAGTTAGGCTATAAAGGTTACTTACAGTCTTCACAATCCTGTTAATTGAGCACTACGGCCGTTTCGGAGATAACTCCATCGTCGGGTGCGTAGTCATTATACACTAATCTGAGCTATTTACATATTTACATTTTTTACGTGCTTTCTTCATTTTCATTGCGTCAAAGTTTAATAATCTCCGAATATAGTATATAGTATATATAGTATAGTATATATAGTAATCTCCGTTATCTCCGAAACGGCCGTAGTGCTCAATTAACAGGATTGCGAAGACTGTAAGTAACCTTTATATTTATTACACGCAATCTGCCACACTGATTAATCTTAAAGTTAGGCTGCTTGAGAAAACCCACTTTGAGCGTGTCTTGTTGCGGTGGCTAAAGGACATGGCTTTCTACTCAATTGATGAGTTTTTTGCCGATTCACTAACCTCCCTGCTCACCAATTAATTGTGCTCTGTAAATATTAATGTTAAATGTTTTCATATTCAATTTTATGTATGAAGTGTTGTTTTAATTTTTATCGACATGAACAATCCAGTTTTCTCTGGTAAAAGTTCACGACGGAAGGTAAAAGGTAAAAGGTTATAACCAGTGACATTTACAGAAATATTGTATTCTGACTTAGCCAATGCATTAATGTAAAACGGAAGTATGTTTAATCTATGGTATAACTGGAAAAAATAATGACTTAGGACTCATTTTACAAAATTTCTAAGATAAAAGGCCAATAAATCGTCTCTTAATCTACGCATTTCTGTATATGGACACACTAAAACTTGAAATGAAATATTTTTATTCAATATTAGGATTAATATGAAAAATTATTGGTATTTTATATAGTAATCAAACCTATAATATTAATAAGATTTATAATTAACATAATCAATAAAGGACAAGGGACCATTGGTGCATTGTGGGATTGTTAAAATTGCGTAAAACATTCCTATTGGTGGAATATTTTCGACTTGCGCATCAGCTGCTGCTACGTTTCATCCTGTGGAGATTTCGAGAAGTCTGCCCTTCCCTCTCTGCCATTTTCTCTGTTCGCCGGGTTCAGTTAGGTAACAGAAAATTTTATATATTTTGAGAGTTGTAGACTAAATATGCTTCTTAAACTATTTCAAACACTACACTATTCAGTCTATACTGTTGTCTAGGTGTTTGTATGCATAAATTTATCCAGGATATTCCATAATACTGAATTTTATGTTGCAGGGCAGACAGGAGAGGCAAGTGAAAGTCGTTGCACATTTCAACACCATTTGTTGACTTTCAACTTTATTTAGAAGTTATATTTTGCTGTACAATGTACGGCAACAGCTATAACAATCAAAATATGTAAGTATTAATGCGTTATAAGTGTCTAAATCCCTAAATTTGGCGTTGCATTTTTTTATGAGGATTTTAATAAAATTTCTTGTGACTGTGACCTACTTTGCGCCATATTGAAATTTCTTGTCCGTCGTCCGTCCACTACGTCATCTGTAACTGCTGACTGCTGTTAGCTGTTACTGTAGTGGATACGGGGATACAAGTTGTGTTGACAGAATGCATTATCTTGTTAACTGCAGCTTGGATAAGTTATATTGCTCTGTTGACCTAGGCATATTTTTTCCTGCTATCCACACCAAGCCAAGTTCCTTTAAGCCTAACTTGTACTTTTTTACAATTTTGCTAGGCCTTAAGATAGGCCTAGGCCTATTGTTCTCCCAAGAAGCCTCTTGTGTTTTCTTTGTGTTCATCTTGTCCATGGTCCGATAAAGAAATTTTTTTGACCGAATTAAATTTAGGCTACCTACCTAACTATTAAGTCAAACCCTAAGTTTTATTCTATTGCCTCTATTTGCTTCACAAATGCTGGGTCTATCCTTATAGATTTTTTAAAAAATAATCTTGATTTTATTTGGGCTAACTTGCAATTGATTTTTTACATTCACATTTACAGACAAGCCTTTGTTGCATTAACGAAGTGCATAATTTGAAAGCATCAAATCTTAATCATTTTAACCTCTCTTATTCATACTTAAAGATATTCACACAGTTGCTCTGCCAAGTAGTCGGACCGGATGCCCATCTTATGCAACCGCATGACAGACCGCCTTTTAGGGATGAGCATCGATAAGTAGTTCAACCATTGATGTACAGATATTAACCCTCCGAGTGTCACGCGTCATAAAAACGACGCACAACACACTTTGTGTAGGGTCACGCGTCGCTTTTAAGACGCACAAACATCGTTTACGGCGAAGGCTCTATGACTGACTGAATCGGATTGAACTGGATCGAGTTAGGTATCGTTCTTTCCGTAATATTCTAAGCTTTCTGCAGAGGTCTGTCTCTAAGCGCTATTCATTTTAGTTCCGAAAATATTGTAGCAGACAGCTGACGTGCGTGTATTTGTAAACAGCTAGGTTCCCCCGGACCGATGACTGATGTGTTTTATTACGTTTATCATTGTTTTAGTGTTAAAAATCAAAAGTAGTGATATACGTGGTGCATTATAAGAAGATTTAAGTGGTTTTGAAGTGCTGGTTGATGATCCTGAAGAAGTAGGTAGTGATATTGATGTAAATTATCAGCCAGATTCCTAGCTATGGTTAGGCTATGCATTCTTAGCTAAACGCTATGTTGGGTCATTCCATATCAAATCAACAAGGCTCTCAACCTGACCATCTTGGATTTTGATGAAATTTTGCATACTTGTAGTATTTTGAGTCCTGAATCCAAATATGCTTTTTAAAAAAATCTATCTTTTATAGTTTTTATGATATAAATTTTTGAAAATGGTAAAAATTGGCATTTTTTACCGTGCGCGCAAATCTAAAATGTTGTCTAGGATGAGTTCTATTGGTCCTATCAAGTTGTACAATGGCTCATTTTAAAGAGGATTCAAATGCCTTTAATCTGATACCAAACTCAACCTACTTTGGTAAAAATTAATTTTTTTTGAAAATTTCAAAATATGTTTTTGAAAAAAAATTTAAGATAGTGTTTTTTGAAAAATTTGAAAATTACATATGTTAAAGAATGTAATCTAGTAAGTACATTTTAAAAATTTCAAAATGGGATGATAATGGGATCAGCAGTTATGATAAAAATACTTGACTATGGTTCACTGTTTCCAAGCATTTCGGCGCATACAGCGTGTAAGTACTAACCTAAATGTATCATTAAATAAGAGTCTATTAATTATATGATTAAAATTAAAAATATCTGTCTATATTTGAATTATGTATGTCATATTTTGCTATATATAAGCTAAATCTAGCAAGTAAATCTGAACATTATTAAAGTTAACAGAGTTTCAGTCAACCTTTGAACATGGGGGCTACTTTGAACAAATTTTCCACTTTTCATATTGGTTTTATTTTTTTTCATATTAATTTTATCTTTAAATGATAATGTTTATTATAATTTTCTATTCCCAGATAAATACTCTGTGACTTAAAAAAATATTTAATTGTGCATACTATGGTTCTGCAAAAAATTAAAAATACTTATTTTTCACTGACATTTTTTAGTAAAAAAATGTCGTCCAAACTTCCATGTCTACAGCAAACCCAGTAAGTTTATGATTTATGACTTAAAACCATAATTGAATAGCTCATTTATCTGGGATTAAGAAAATACCTGCTTTGATTACTTTATAAGCACTAAGCAGTAATAACTTAAAAAAAAAAGAAAGAAAAATTACCCAATTTGCTGACCCTTACTTATGGCGTCGCGACCCTTAGTTCTGGAACAAAATTTCCCGGACATGAAAAAAATACTTGGGTTTTAAGTTTTAAGTGTTATTTTTTTAAATGATTTTTCTAATGAAAATAGATGTTTTGAGCTTTAGTTATTATTAGCAGCCATAATTCAATTCCTTTATTTGACTGCTATGATATTTAAAAAAATACCCTTGCAAAGTTAAAAAATAACCGGACGGACATTTTGAAAATTCTCCGTAACTTTTTTTAATTTTTGACATATCAAAATAGAAGTTATACAGAAATGTGGTATGTGGTATTTAAATCCACAAATCAGTTTTCACTAAAAAAATTTTTAATTGTTTAAGTGAGACTACATTATTTATAGGTACTTATGAGCAGACATTTCCCCAAAACTAAATAATTAGGCTATCATGGAATATTATCTATGTATCAATAATAAGGTTACTACAGGATTTAAATAGATTGATCACAGTATATTGTGTGACAAAATTATCAATGCTTGTTTGTCTCTCTCTCTTGTCACCAGAGGAAAGACAGACAAACATGGACCTATGGGTTTTGGCTCAGGTTCCTCAGTATTTTCCAGTTGTGTTGCAACGATTTACTGTAATCAATCTTTAAGTCTGCCTTTTCACTAGGCTGGAGACACTAGTCAGCCACTAGATCTGTGCAAAATCACATTGTGAAGCACTTTACGTTTACACTATCAGGTCGCAGCGACCCACCTCGGCAGTAGCGACCCGGTCTTGAGAAGTTGTAATTTGTTTGACAGGTACACAGGTCTAACTTATGTTTGTCAGTCTTTCCTCTTGTCTCAAGACCGAGTCGCTACAGCCGAGATGGGTCGCTGCAACCTGATAGTGTAAACATAAAGTGCTTCACAATGTGATTTTGCACAGATCTAGTGGCTGACTAGAGTCTCCAGCCTAGTGAAAAGGCAGACTTAAAGATTGATTACAGTAAATCGTTGCAACACAACTAACTGGAAAAGACTGAGGAACCTGAACCAAAACCCATTGGTCCATATTTGTTCAAAGGTTGACGGAAACTCTGTTAACTTGAATAATGTTGTTTACTTGCTAGATTTAGCTTATATATAGCAAAATATGACATACATAATTCAAATATAGACAGATATTTTTAATTTTAATCATATAATTAATAGACTCTTATTTAATGATACATTTAGGTTAGTACTTACACGCTGTATGCGCCGAAATGCTTGGAAACAGTGAACCATAGTCAAGTATTTTTATCATAACTGCTGATCCCATTATCATCCCATTTTGAAATTTTTATAATGTACTTACTAGATTACATTCTTTAACATATGTAATTTTCAAAATTTTCAAAAAACACTATCTTAAATTTTTTTTCAAAAACATATTTTGAAATTTTCAAAAAAAATTAATTTTTACCAAAGTAGGTTGAGTTTGGTATCAGATTAAAGGCATTTGAATCCTCTTTAAAATGAGCCATTGTACAACTTGATAGGACCAATAGAACTCATCCTAGACGACATTTTAGATTTGCGCGCACGGTAAAAAACGCCAATTTTTACCATTTTCAAATATTTATATCATAAAAACTATAAAAGATAGATTTTTTTAAAAAGCATATTTGGATTCAGGACTCAAAATACTACAAGTATGCACAATTTCATCAAAATCTAAGATGGTCAGGTTGAAAATAATTTTTTATTGGTTGATTTCATATGGAATGACCCTGTACTGAAATCCGTTTTTCGCTCATAACTTATTTATTTGATAACTTACCTCGCTATATGATTATATATTTGTAATCCTCATTAAATTTAGAACAAAGTGGCTATTTTCAAATATTTATAGGCCTATAATTTATACAATTTCATTGAGCGCAAACTTATTTTTTTTTTGAAAATTTTCGAAATTAGGGCCTATATTTTTTTTTACCTAAAAATTTTTTTTTTTTAAAAATGTTCCTTATGTTTTATATATAATATTGAAGCCCATGATTTTCCAAACAAAATGGTATATAGAACATTAGAATTAACATTGTTTTAAGCTTCTCAGATCCGTTTTAATAAAACCTTGCAAAGGGGCCAAAAATAGGTGGACATTAAGGCCTAAACTATGGACACTCGGAGGGTTAAGTTGTGAGAACATCGATGTTTTTTTTAGTTTGTTCTATGCTCTCTGTACTCTCCAATAATGGAAAACATTGATATCTCAATACTTGGCCAAAAACATCAATGTTTGACGTAAACATTGGTAACCTGCCATCGATAAAAAAGCATTGAACATCGATAGAAAAACGTTGATGTTTCGAAACAACTGACTATCGATGCTCATCCCTCCCGCCATGATCTCTATCGTTTGAGTGTTAAGCTTAGCGCCGGTTAATGGATCTAACTTATAGGCCTACTTACTTCTTAGTTATTTAGGCTCCCATAAGTTTATGCAATGGATATATGATATAAGTTAGCCTAGGCTTATTTAAAAGATATAGCCTTTTTAATTTGGTTTTTTGGGATAGGCCTACAGTTTATGAAAGTGTAAGTTACTTACTCAATCCATGTTATACATACGAATGTTCGTGTTTGGTTGCTGAATAATTGTACGTACCGTACTTAAGCACCAGGTG